TAAGGAGATTTAAATTTATGTGCTTTCACATACCCTGGGGCGGTCCCTTCTTAGTTTCCTTTTGTCATAAAGTTGTCTCTTCAGCCAGTACATCATGGATTCTTGAACATTATGGGGTATGGTAAATGGTTTTGTCATTGGTGGTGGGACGTTTGGTATGGATAACCACAACCTTGCTGGTTCAAAACTTAACGTTGGTTGTTTTGTTGCTCAAATAATGTTTGTGGGATGTCCTGGTATTTTGTCTTTTGGATGGATTGCCCAAGTATGACGGCAATACTATAGTTTCTGGGTGCAGTAATTTGTTAGTCTATTTACTTTTTTTTTTTTGGAAGTGTTTGTCGATATACTTTTAATGCTGTGAATTTGAATGTTTATGAATTAACGTCTTGATATCCACATGAAATTCATATTTTCCGATTTGGACTTTTTACAAAAGATTTTTCATAAAATTACTATGACGTTTACAATAGAGGTCCCAAAAACAACTTTACATTTTTTTTTACACTCACTATTCCCATTTCTCTGCTATTCTGAACTTTACCTATTGCTTCTCTGAGTTCTCTCTACACCACATCCTGTACTTAACAACCTTTCCTTATTTTCATGCCAATCTCAAGTGAGATGTTCATTTTAGGACAGGGAGTAATTGGGTGCAAAATAATATTTTGTTATTTTGATTTCTATGTTTCATTAAATCAGTAGTCTTGCAACTCTTGCCTCAAACTGATGTGACTAATTTGAATGAGAAATGAAAGTTAGTATAGGATTTCTTGATTAATTGGCTTTGTGTAAAGTGTGGTGGTCTAGGATTCTTAGTAGATTGAAATTTCCGCGCTAACTTTTATTCATTACCCATCTTTGCAGATATGTCTCCTCTGACCTTGCCACTGATGTTGCTGTAACTGTGGGTGATGTGAAGTTTTACCTTCACAAGGTAGGAACTCTTCATTATAATTCCGTGTTTGTTTGGGTTCATATAAATGTGTGATCTTTTTTCTGTTGCTCCTCTCTTTGTTCTATTTCAGAAAACCATGATTTCTCTTAGGCTTTTAAAACTTTGAATTAAATTGATTAATTAGACACCTTTTACTATATCTCGGACTTAAAACGCCCTACTGTAATCAGTCATCCAAGCCAACTCCATTTCTTTGTGTGTGTGTTTGAGAGGTTGCTTTTATATGATGCTTTGTTGTTTGAATAAATTCATGATTGGGAAAAGATGCCCTTCCTTTCCAATTGCCTATTCTGATGAATGTTCAACTTGAAATAAGTGTTCGTAGCCTTGTCAATTCTCAGCCACTATATTGGATACTGAAAAGTCTTTTCCATCATTCTATTATTTGAAATTATTTTTCCGAAAAGGACTTTACATATACAATCAAGCTCATCGGTATATTATTTTTATGCTCCATGGATTTCTACAGTTTCCTCTTCTGTCAAAGAGCAGCCGCCTGCAAAAGCTTATAGTGAGAGCAGATGAAGAAGAGAGTGATGAAATTCATTTGCCCGACTTTCCAGGAGGGCCAAAAGCTTTTGATATATGTGCCAAATTCTGCTATGGGATGACTGTTACTCTCAATGCTTATAATGTTGTTGCTGCACGTTGTGCTGCGGAGTACCTTGAGATGACTGAAGATGTTGATCGAGGAAATCTTATATACAAGATAGAGGTTTTTCTCAATTCCAGTATCTTTCGTACTTGGAAAGATTCAATCATTGTGCTTCAAAACTCTAAATCTCTTTTACCATGGTCTGAAGATTTGAAGATTATTGGGCGATGCATAGACTCTATTGCATCCAAGACCTCAGTGGACCCTTCGAAAATTACTTGGTCTTACACACATAACAGAAAATTAGCAATGCAAGACAGAATCATCGAGCATGAGACAGTTGAATCAGTTCCCAAAGACTGGTGGGTTGAGGATTTATGTGAATTAGATATCAATCTGTATAAGCGAGTTTTGATTGCTATAAAGTCAAAGGGAAGAATGGATGGTTCTGTGATCGGAGAAGCTCTTAAGATGTATGCCATCAGATGGTTGCCAGATTCTCTTGATGCTTTGGTTTCCGATGATCATATCCAAAGAAACAAATCGTTGGTGGAAACAATCATATGCTTGTTACCACCTGATAGATCATTGGGTTGTTCTTGTAGCTTCTTGTTTAAGCTGTTAAAAGTTGCCGTTTTAGTTGAAGCAGAGGATGCTGCTAGGGAAGACTTGGTGAGAAAAATTAGCTTGAAACTTGATCAGGCAACAGTAAAGGACCTCTTGATCCCAGCAAGGCCTCCCCAGCCTACAGTTTATGATGTCGAACTGGTTTTGTGCATTTTGAAAAGATTCGTGCTGCAAGAAAAAAGCTGTTGGGAACTAAATATTTACGAGAACAATGAGAAGGGCGAGTCAGAGTTAGCTCTAGACCGTGGATCCTTGTTAAATGTTGGCGGACTGGTTGATGCTTATCTTGCTGAAATTGCTTCAGATCTGTGTTTGGCCCCTTCAAGCTTCATTGAATTAGCGAGATTGATACCGGAGTCTGCAAGACCAATCCATGACGGATTGTACAGGGCTATTGATATGTACTTAAAGGTACGTGTAGTTTTTGTTTACTGGATTGGCTTATATCATATCAATATTTCATGTCATCTTTGTTCATTAGCAATTAGCTTTGGGCTTGTTCATTATTGCATCACTTCTTAGTTCTTACTAGTAGATTTATATCCTACTTAATAGATTTTGTTAAGTTAAATTGTTAATATCTTAGTTGATATGATCTGTTATGTTCATGATGTTTTCAGGAGCATCCAGACTTGACTAAAGCGGAGAAGAAGCAAATATGCGGGCTAATGGATGTTAAGAAGTTCACCATGGATGCATCAACTCATGCTGCTCAAAACGACCGGCTTCCTCTTCGAGTTGTAGTCCAAGTTTTGTACTTCGAGCAGATGAGGTCAGCTAGTACAACTCAATCCCTTAACAGAACTTCCAACATCACTTCATCTTCCACACCAAACGAAGATGAAGATTGGGATCAGAGAACCCTAGAAAGCTGTAAATCGCTGAGGAAACAGATTGACAAAGTGAAGATCGAGGACAATGAAGAATTACAAAGAAATGGGAAAATGATGGCCAAGAAGAACAGTAGTAAAAACAGCCGGAGTGGGGCACAGTTGGTTCCTTCGCGATCAAGGAGGATATTCGATAAGTTATGGGGTATGGGCAAGGGGAATGGCGAGAGCAAGAGCTCAGAGACAAGCGGGAGTTCTCAGTCACCAACTACTTCATTGGTTCCCGGTGATACAAAGTCGTCTGGTTCAAGTTCACGACACAGGAGGCATTCTGTCTCTTAAAGGAAGCGAGGAGAGCTATTAGATTTGATGGTCTATTAGTGTAAAAAATGTGGTAGGATTAACTTCTTTTTTCTGTTGTTGTACCTAGTAGGTTATGGGTGTAGTGTTTTAAGTAATTAGGGAAGTTGATGTGATTTATCTGCTAACAAAAAGGCGCTAATTAAGTGCAGAAAATGTAATCAGTTCCTTTTGTAAGTGTCCTGTATGCTACTCGACCAACTTAGGTCCTAATTAATTGTTGTTTAATCTAATATTTTCTCTTAAACCATAGAAAAATTGGCTAAGAAGAGATCTTAGGGTTTTGTATGATGTGATATGCCTTTTTTTTTATTTTTTTATTTCCTACTGTAATAAAAAGTTAGCCATATTATGGAGATGAAAAGATGGGAGTTTTGATTAATGTACATGTGGACACTAATATATGTAGAGGAATGAGGATACATGGTGGTCCCACAAGTTTTTCTTTTGAATGTTGTAGTATTTTAGATTTTGGTACAATGTAATACTAATAATGCATAGCTTTAATAATGTATGTGTAGCATTTTTATATAGTGATTATAACTTTAATTAGGTTGGAAAGAATCCTAGTTGAATATGAATCAATTGTAGATTGTATCATAGACTTGCATGTCTTCATTCCACAAGGCAAATTAATCCTTATCGAGATTCTTTGTTCTTAGTTTAGGTCAACCTCACAATGTAAACACAAGGTTTAATTTTTTAGGTCTAAGAGATTTTGCACCGAACTTGAAAAAGATTTGGAATTTGTTATGGCTCTTTGGTTAGATGGTGGGTGGTGGCTCCTAATGATTGCAAGGGTGATTTTGCTGATATTTTAGAAGTGATTCATTTCCATGTTTTCAATATCACCTTACAAGAGTTTAAACAATTAAAATGGTGAACATTTATAGATATTTTCTTTTATGATTCATTTGAACAATAGTGTGATGACATGTCTAAATTACGTGCTATTTTATGGAAGCTTACATCAGGGGATTTTGAATCCTATCTCCAAAACTCTTTTTCCAATTGTAAGCCTTGAAAATGATTACTTTAATTTCAATGCATTTTAATAGGCATTTGGTTATTTTTTTTTTTCTAAAATTCTATTCAATGCTTATAAAGAACAATTAAATTCATCAATGTCTTCTTTCAATTTCAACAGTACTTTTATGAAAGTTGACTTTTTGCAATGTTTCATGTGTAAGTTGCTTGGTATGACTGTATGAGAGTTTAGGAAATGAGTGACTCTTGGACATGTCTTTAGCTCTTTGCAAACAATGAAACCTTTCAGTAAGGCCAATGGAGGACCAATTGATAATTTCCCTCTCTTTCCACTAGTTGATAACCAACATCTCTGATCAAGGATTCCTATTAATTGCCAAAGAAACTTATTAGGTCATAAATTTATTCTTCCTTTATCATGTACATTCTACTGCTTTCATCTTACCGCATATATATATATATATATATATATATATATATATATATATATATATATATATATATATATATATATATATATATATATATATATATATATATATATTATTCAAAAATCAATATGACCAATAATTTGCAACATCAAGCTTTTGTTTGTCTTTTACCATGACATATTATTTTTTACTAATTTCTCATACATGTTTCGCATGTCAATCCTTCATTTCTTATCATAACTTTGATTTCGGTCATTCTAATAATTCCATTACAAATTCATGATCCATGGCCTCCAATTTTCTCACTTTCCTAATTTTTAATCACAAACAAACTTTCAACTCTCATGGTGGACAAGCACTTGATTATCTATTAACCCATGCTTATTATTGGGTTAAGCTTAACAAAGTGGATCTGTAAACTTTAGGATCATGCTCAACAACACCATCCTATACTACGTACATATCTTTCTTTTTTTTTAAAAATAAAAAAAAAAAAAAAAAAAATAGTGAGCCTAGTTCATTTTCCTCCTATTTTTACTCCATTTCTTTTTATTCAACTCATATTAAACCCGGGAAAATTGGAATATGCAACTGTTAGTCAACTAGTAGATTGAATTTTCTCAGGACCTTCGTCATCAATTTCAAACGAATATCCATATTATATTTGGATTTTCTCCCAAAAAATTCCCCCATTCTCTCTCTTATCAATCAAAATCCAATTTTCAAGCTTTCAACTCAATTTCCAGTTAATCTGAGCTTAACCCAGAAGAGAAAACCCATTGAATTGAAGTGGGTATGAATTCAATTTTGAAAAAGATGAAGTTTTCAGCGTTAATTTCAGTTGGGGTTTTCTTGTTAGCCCTATTTTCTCTCTCCTCATCAACTGCAATGGCGAAGGAAGAGTGTAAGGCTTGGCTGGTTCAATCAATTCCCACCAACATGCCTCATCTTTCTCTCGTTCCTGGTGTTCTTTCTACTGGTATTTATCTTATCATTCTATTATTTCTAAATGCTTTAATGTTTTCCCCGGATAATGATATATGTAGCGTTAAAGGGCTAAGTATAAAATTTGAAATACTGATTGACACATGATTTTGTCATGAATTCTAGGGCTAAGTATAAAATTTAAAATACTGATTGACACGTGATTTTGTTATGAATTCCGAAACATTGAGACTATAGATAGCAAAACCTTTTACTTGGTCTAGTTTATTGTGTTTCTTCTTCTAATTTTGTCATAAATAATTTTTTGTCTGTGTTGATTTGGAAAATATGCCTATAGCATTAGTTTTGCACATTCTCATTGGCAAATTTTTTCACTTTGGTACCAATATACTATTGCACATATATTGCTAGATTAGAGAACAAGTATAAAGCTAATGCTAATTAAGAGATTTCTGAATATAATTTGTTACCAATGAGAATGTGTAAAAGTATGTTGCTGCCAAAGGGAAAAGCCCAGTTAATTGCTGATGTGATAAATGTCAATCTAATTACTCAAAAATGAAGGTTTATACTTTATACGAACTACATGTTATTAGTAGTCTGATCAATGAAGGAGGAATTTGCCTATATCAACTAAAGCCTTTTGCTTTGGACCAAAAACAAAGAAATTAGACAAAAAAGCATTTTTTAGGCAGTGTTACGCTTATTATTGGAGTTTTGTGTGTAATGAAGTTGATTTGGAATAATTTGCCAAGCGCAGCTAGCTTGTGAATTTGGAAAATAATGCTCTTTTTTTGCTAGGGTGCTTAGTGTTGGAATGCAGTATGTTCTGTAACATAAAACGAGTACAGGAATGTGATTTGCTACCTTGTTTTGTTCGGTTAGTCCACTAGTTCACCATGTATTACATACCAATTTCCAAATTATTGATTGTTTTTTGGAGGAGGGAAGGGGGTGAGTGAATTGGGTATCGCTGATGCTCAGTGTCGAATTTTCAGCTGTCATTTATGTTTTAGGACTTTGTTTTTAGGCTGACTACCAGATAGAAGTATCTTATTCTGTTTATTTTGTTCTCGCTGTACACGTTTTTGATTCTCCGAAGTTTAGTTGTTATTGTGAAGCTTTGGAGGCGAGCTTCAGCACTAGTAACGTCTTGATGGTTTTTCCTTTGATTTGGTTGATTGACATTTGGTATAGATTACTGCATTTCATAAAGTATATTGCTTACTGTTGGCAATACATGATCAGTGCTCAGTGTAGCACATTGTATTCCGCTTTCTCAAGTAATTGTGAGCTGCATAGCACCCATATCCAGTCTTCAATTTTGCAATGATCTAGGGATGTCCAGAATGCAGATCAATTTTGACTTTTGACCTTTGATTTTGCTTACAACAACAAATTTTATGCACTTTGTCAGCTGATGTATCCCGGTGGCTGGCTGGTAATTCAACTAAAAAGCTGGATATTATGGCACAATACTGGCAATTGGTTGCCGGGCCAGATAATCCTCTTTCAGGGGATTATGGGTACTCAGAAGAAGAAATGGATAGATTTGGTGCTAAAGAAGGTTTTAGTGTATATAAAGCGATTGAAAATGCTGCTGACCGCAATGTCAAAGTCAGGTATAGATTTAATTTACCTTGTTCTTGTAGAACAATGCAAATTACATTTTTAGTGAACTCTTTTTTGGGTACCTTGATATATGTAATCCATTATAGGCTTTTGCAGCACTCAGGCGTGTATCCTGATTATACCAAAGAGCCATCTGACCTAGCGGCAGGAAGACCAAATGTCGAGAATGTTACACTATTACTTGGCAATTGGTGGGGGTCTGGCATAGTCCATGCTAAAGTTTGGATATCAGATGAACGTAATGTATACATTGGATCTGCCAATAATGACTGGAAATCACTCACACAGGTATTTGTTACTCGTATGAATTAGCATAACTGGTTGAACTTAAAGGAAGAAAGAAATAAAGATTTTGATAGATATTAAGGAAATTACAGAAAATTGATGATAGATTTAAATCGAAAGGCTTTATTACTCCAAAGAGCTAACTAAAACTCAACACAATATTCCCCATAACAATCCCAGTCTAATCTTCTCTTATTTAATAGCATTACTCCTCTGACTCACTCACTTATCTTCCTCCTCAACATACAACACTAGCGCGCATAGGCCATAAGTATATTGTACTACCTATTATGCCCTACCAAAGTTGCCAATTCATTACAGTATCCTCTCTATAAATCGTATATCTTATTTAAACCTTCCTTGTCAAACTACATTCCAACATTTGCATCTATGTCACATTTTTCATGCAATTATTGCATTGTTTTTTAATCTTAATAGGTTAAAGAAGCTGGTATCTATATTGCTGATTGTCCAAAAATCGCCAAGAATGTTGAGATTTACTATAACAACTTGTGGATGCTTGGTTCACTGAATCCATCAGCACATACTACAACAACATGGGATCAACAATGGCAGATTAATAGAACAGTTCCTTGCTGGTCACATTTTGTTGTTCAAGAAGAAAGATGCAAGTATGTTTTTAAAAACAAAATTTCTGGTTTACACACAGCTTCTTTGCTAGAAATGCAAATTGTATATACTTTACTTCAGACTGATGCACTTCTTGTTCATTTAGGATTAGTACAAACCTTGCTTTATCAATGCTTTCTTTTTAGGGGTTGTATTTAACATCCAAGTATATTAATGTTGCAGATCTCCTCTTCCTCATGTTTATGTTAATACCAATCATGTATCTGGATACCCTTTGCTCTCTGATCCATATATGTTTCAGCTACCTCTTCAGACTCCTGGATACAGCAACAGTTCAACGCCCCAGCATTCTTCTAGCTATCTCTCTTTTGCTCCTCCCGAGGTAGGGTGTTCAAGTTGAAACTCTTTGTTTCTTGTTAGTTAAGCAGACTTGTTCCGAATGTTTTTTGCCTGTCATCAGAGATTCTGGATTTCAGTCATCCTTTTTTTGTACTCCTCTGACTTCTGATAACTTTGGAATATAGAAAATTATTTTTTCTTGCTAAGCTGGAATAACCAAGAGCAAGGAATTAGCCTGAGGTTTGAGAGATTAAGGCTCACACACACGAAGTTGCCTCTCCCCCCTCTGGTGGGGGCCATACTACCCGTTAAAAAAAGTTGAAACTAGTAACATTAAGTACTTACATGGAAATTTAATTAGGCTTTGCTTTTAACATTGAGAAACAAGTTTTGGGGCATGCTTGAGTTGAGGTTGAATAATTAGGGAGATTAGTGAAAATTAAAAGAACGTTTTGTGGAGGTGATGTAATTAAGGGAGGGGAGAGGGATGGGGGAATGGCTACCCTCCAAATAAGGGTAATAGTTCCACACAGGCCCACCCTCCCCCTTGGTCTCTGAGTATATATTTTCCTAGAAATGAGGGTAACTACCTTACCTTGTTCACCTTCTATTTAGTGTTACTTATTGTCTCCTTAGTTATTTAATTCCAACCCAAGAATATGGAAAAATAAGTTTAGACAAGGGCCAATATAATCCAGAAATGAAGGGTCAATTGTTTAAGTTAACATAAGGGGAAAGGATTACCAATTTCATTTTACAGCTAAAATTAAAATTTAGACAAGTTCAAATAAGATTTTTTTTAGGTGAAAAGAATGAAGCCAATTTCTATAATTATCTTTTCCTTTTTCTTTCTCCATTGTCATTTATTGTATTTTCTTCTGCTGTATCTGAATGCTTCTCATCTCTAGGTGATTGATTTTTCTGTGCTGTAGCTTTCTTTTGGAAGATTCCAGACAGATGAACAAGCATGGTTAGATACCATAAAATCTGTAGGAACTGGAGCTGTTGTTAGGATCAGTACGATGGATTGGCTTGGTCAGTCTCAATATACAGAACAAACTGTTTACTGGTCGGCTCTTTCATCTGCTATATCAGAGGTATTTCCTCACGTTGATGCTTGAATATTGTAGAAGTTCATGGTTTATCTTTTATCTCTGGGTCTTACACTCACTTTGATTTCATAACACCCCCCACATCTTTATATCTTACCTCAAAACAGAGCTGTATGATTCTTAGGAAAACATCTTCTGTGGCTGTATCATGTTTTAAGCTATCCTTCATAACCCTCAGAGAGTTTTTTTTAGGTGAAGGGCCATAATCCTCGCTGCTTCTCAATTTTGACTGTCCTCCTAATAGGTGTAAAGCTATATAAGAAGTTTTTGGTTTTCATCTTGACTCTTTGGGGAAGTTACTGAGCAATTAATGGCAAATACAGTAACCCTCCATGCATAAATAATTGGCCACGTTTTTAATTAAGGCCACTATTATCTTTAACTTTGGACTTTCCCATCATATTCATAGCTATATCCATAACAAAGAGTTTCAAAGAAAAACAACAGTGGTGGTGGAGATGTATATTTTCGACTTTTGGGTAATGATTGGTAGTTATAATATCAACTAAATTTCTTAAAGTATTCCCATCAAACATGGCATATTATCTAGGAACGGGAGGAGTAACAAGGTGTAATGATGAGGTCTGTCATCATGATCTGAAATAAATAGGTAGACAGATAAGCTTGAAAAAATATTACAACTACTTTTGGGTCTTGTGCTTTTAGAAAATGAGCTCATTTACATGTTTTCTCCTAAAGCAGACATTGGTCCCTTTTTCATTAATGTCTATTTGTTAAGTACTTAGTTTTCCTAATTATTCCATTGGATAGGTTGTATTCTCAAAGAGGGCAACAGTCCAGCTCCTTGTGGCACGATGGGCACATTTCATCAACAACACTGATAATTATTTGAAAGCTCTACTATACACTAATGTCATGTGCCATTCATCACCATATAATCACTGCTCGGGCAAAGTGGAAATCAAATACTACGAGGTGCCTGGTTACAATTCAACTGGGCCAGCTATTAGCAATGGCACTAGTTCAGGGAACCTGTACCCTGGTTACACGAGAGTGAATCATGGGAAATATGCTGTCAGCGATGTGAGAGCTCACATTGGGACAAGCAACCTCGTATGGGATTATTTCTATGCAACTGCCGGTGTCAGTTTTGGCACGTACAACCCTGTCATTGTTTCCCAACTTCAACAAATCTTTGATGCTGATTGGAACTCCCCATATGCTGTTTCTGTCAAACCACTGCAAGAAGTTAATTCGTATTCAAGCTGGTGAAGTTCATACCAGCAGGAATGAGGATAGAAAACTGAGGAGGCAGATAAAGGGATGCTCAAAGTTTGACATTCAATCGGCTTAAGAATCCACCCTAGTCGATTGGCTACTTTGAGCTTAGTTCCTCACATTCGATAAGGTTCGGTCTTGATGCAGAATGAAAAAAAGACAGGAAGCAGTTTGTGCACTTATTCATCTTTCCTATTCTTTTTCAGAAGCTGCAAGATAAGTTGGGATTGTACCTTGACTTCGTTGCTCGTTTACATGCAGAAGTTAAAATGTCTTCTTTTTTTTTTTCTTTTTTTTTTTTTTTTTTCCCTCTCAAGCACGCAGTTCAGGTAAAACAATTACTAGTAGTCAAGATAATGAATAATGACATTCTTTTTCCCTCTTAAGGATGCAATTCAGAATAAATAGTTAGTCGTTGTAACTTTTGCCACTAAAGGTACTTTGCCTTCATTTTGTGATTATTTCTAAGCAAAAACATTAGTCCAGTTAGGTCTTGTATGATTCCTCTCAACGTTTATTTTCCAAATATTAAATTTTAATAATTTTTTGTTTTACATTATTAAAGATATTATTATTTAAGTTATGTATTAAACATATTCATATTTTTATTTAAATTATTAATACACATGATGCATGCGATTTTCTCTATTATAAAATTTACTAGACTCAATTATTTTGCGAAAGGGTGTTAGCACTGTCAACTTGTCTGTGACCCATATTCCTAAGTCCTAAGGTGGATCTACCGCTGAGATTAACTAACACTGGTCAACCCGGTCTGAATACGCGAGCAAGGTTTTTTTAGGAGTATGAGAAAAACGATAAGGAAATTCTCACCCTTAAGTTGCCTTCGAGATAGATTGAATCTACTAGTATAATTTTATAGTTGTGAGAACCATTCTTACTATTAAATCAACTAATACGGAATACTCAGTAAAATAAGTGTTTCGATTTGACTTTCACGGCGTTTTGAGAGAAAGAGTTGAATATATTAAATTACTCTGTATTATTAAGTGAAGGGTCTGAATTACAAACTAACAAATTAAACATAGAAAATACAGTATTCAATAAGGACAGACTAAATTAAATATACTTGTATAATTTATCATATAATATACTTGTATAATTTTTTTCATATAATAATCTGTTCAATGTTGAAGGCAAGTACAAAAAAACGTTCTAAATACTTAATTAAAAAATACTCAATAGAATAAAAATTGCTAAATGGGAACCCAAGTAAAGTATTTCCACGCGTATGGCCAGTTTAATATTAAAATTTAACAATAATGCATGCTAACTACTAAAAACGTTGTAATATAGCATATACAATATTGATAATTTAACACTAGCTATTATATAAGTACCCATAAAACTAAGCAAGCTACAAAGTTAAGAGCCTAAAAGTATACAACATACATTTCTTTCAAAAAAAGTATACAACATACATCAAAACAAGAAAGAAAGAGAGTGATAAGATGGTGATGGAAGTTGAGATAGAGCAAGTTCTTCACATGAAAGATGGGCAAGATGATACCAGTTATGCTAAAGCATCCTATATGCAGGTACCACCGTTCATTATTTTTACGTTTTACTCCCTCTATTTTGTAATAATCGCAATTGTGTGACTTTTGCTCTATTTATATTATGTTTACTTTGACTCTATTTTTCATCAATTTATAAAAAAAAAACATATATTGTCATGCAATATATTTTAACTTTTTATGTATATTTCATTAGATCAAGTTTTATACGAGTACTTTTTAGTGATATATAATTATAAGGTCAAAGTTGTGCATCAGCATTTTCACCGATCAAAATATTACGATTATTATGAAACACAAGGACTACCATTTACCAATCGTGTATTTTTCATTTTTTTTATTATCATTTTCTTGTCAAATTATTTTCCAAAAAAATAAATGGTAGTTAGACACAAAAAAGTCGTATATACAACACGTTATATTAGTACATGATCAAATAAACACATAATTTCTAAATTTCTAATACACATTTAGACCAACTAATTCATTTATACTTTGTAAGGTACAATGCACAAACATTGAATTTCATAACTTTATCAACTTAATACTAATCAATTTAAGATTGGATATTTTCTTTGCAACAGAAACAAGTGATATCATTGACAAAACATATAAAAGAGAAAGCAATAAAAGAGTTCTATTGCAAGAAACGACCAACAACCTTAGGCATTGCAGACTTGGGGTGTTCCTTGGCTAACAGCTTGACTGTGGTGTCCGATCTCATAGCAACCATCGATAAGGCTCATCGAGGGCTCGGAAATGGCCCTCAAGAGTATCAAGTCTACTTGAATGACCTCCCAAGGAACGATTTTAACGCCATCTTTAGGTCATTGGGATGCTTTGAAGATAAGCTTAAGCAACAATTAGGAGATGATTTTGGGTATTGTTTTGTGAATGGTGTTCCTGGCTCTTTTTATGGTAGGCTTTTTCCAAGTAATCACTTGCAATTTGTCCATTCTTCATACAGCCTACATTGGCTATCTCAGGTAAAATCTATCTTCGAAGCATAAGATCATTTTTTACTTCGTATATTTTTTGCTCATTAATTAAGTATAAAACATAATCCTGAGCTTCAACCATCTGTTTAAACTTTTGGTTAAATTGGTCCACTAACATGGTATAAAAGTCTGTATCAGTTTAAACTTTTAGTTGAGTTGATTGATGATTGAATATATTGAAAAATGTGTCTAAAAAAATACTTCATATCATATATCGACTAAAGTGAAAGGAGGAAGCACTAAGGAAGCAACTTAATAGATCAAGAAATCGCTAGATTTAAGATTTGATAAAGATTCTTTTCCTAAAAAATAAGCTAATAATTCACACATTTTCTCTCTTTCTTGGAATCATACAGATTATAAAGTATATAGTGAATAATGTAATAAGTTAAAAATAAGTACCCACTTGTATAATTAAACTTTGTGCAATATAAAACACAACAATAATTAAGTGTACTGTAGTAGCATTATTATAATTAATTAATTAATTAATTAATTGTTATCAAATTTTGTAATATTGAAGTTGTAGAAATTGACAATGCATGATTGAATCAGGTGCCAGATGAGATAGAGGACAACAAAGGGAACATATTCTTAGCAAGAACAAGTCCATCTAATGTGCTTGAAGCTTACTATAAACAATTTGAAAAGGATTTTTCAATGTTTCTAAGTTGTCGATCCAAAGAAGTAATAGAAGGAGGGATGATGGTGCTTACTATATTGGGAAGGAAAAGCAATGAAATTTATAGTAAGGAGTCTTGTAACATGTTTGATCTTCTTGCTACCGCGCTTAATGACATGGTTATTGAGGTAATACTACATACAATCAATCTCTATCATCTTAGTGCACCTTCGATTTACATGTTTTGGTATAGAGTTATGAAAAAAAGAATGGTAGGTGAAAAGCTTAATTATATTGATGAGTATACTAGATTATATACACTTCATGAGAAAGCAATATAATATGACTAGGTACATTTGTTCAGATATATTAGTTAAGAGTTAGGGACGGATAACTTTGACTATCAACCTAAACGAGTGAATCAAATGATTAAGACAAAACTATAAACAATAACTAATACTCCCTCCGTTTTTAAATATTTGCTCTATTTCTCTTGGACACGCATGCCGATGCTAATCTTTGATCACTAATATCTTTAATTACCAATAAGTATAAATTCTAACAATTGAAAATTAATTAATAATATATTCATTGAGATGATTCCAACAAGTACCCACAAGACTATATTTTTTCTTATGTATAAGTCACAAACATTAATTAAAGTAGGACAAATGAATAGTGCAAAAAATAAAAATGGAACAAGTATTTAAAAATGAAGGGAGTAAGTAATAATGAGAAAGATGATATAGTTATCATTATTCTTTATAGTTCTAACTACCGCCCTCAATGATGATGATATATGGTTCTTACCAAAGACCGATTATTGTTTGATTTTGGTGTAGATAAAGAGATTTATACAATTTGTAACCAACATTCTGTTTTCCGTTACAACTAAGATGTATTCGTAACCAACATTATGTTGTCCGTTACAAATAATATCCTATTGTAACAGACATAGCTAATGTTGTAACTAAGCATTTTTTTTACTAGTGCAAGTATAAGGTAAATGGTGTAACGAGATTTTAATATATAGATATGTGCAAACATTTTAAAATAATGAATAGGGAAATCACAAAAATTAGAACCAAGGTGTGATGATTAAAAATAATTAAAAATAAATAAATAAAGGTTAATAAAGGAAAAAAAGTAAGTGATGGTATAAGTATAACATGATGGAAAATTATTATGAGTATTATTATTTATTTACGGTAACTGAGTAGAACATAAAAGAACGAAGGAAATATTTTTTGTTGAAAAGGAAACACTTGGTATAATTATAATTTGTAAACTTATGTAGGGTTTCATTGAGGAAGAGAAGCTCAATAAATTCAATATCCCTATTTACACTCCATCAGCAACAGAGCTAAGATATTTGGTGGAGAAAGAAGGATCATTTACTCTAAATGAAGATCATGTTTCTGAAGTAAGTTGGGAAGCAAATGATCTCAACAAAAACTCTTCAAATGCCGTACATTATGACTTTGTCAAATGTGTAAGATCAGTGGCGGAACCCTTTCTCATACTTCATTTCGGAGAAACCATCATTGAAGAAATATTCTTAAGGTATACCGAACTTGTTCAAGTCTCGATGGCTAAGGAAAAGAGTGTATTCATCAATGTCACGGTGTCGCTAACGCGAAAGGGTTGATTATTCATGGAGGAAACTCAATTTATTACTTGTTTTAAATTTATTTGAAGAAGGGTTTTCTACAACAATTTGTACTAAAAAATAAGCTCATCTTTAATTTGTTACGTTCTTGTTTTGTTTGTGTTCTTTAGTTGGTCCAAAAACTTCAAGAAGTAAATCTTGAAATTTTCTAATATTTCTTGTACTGTTTAAATTTTTTATCGAGAAATTTAATGAGAAGGTGAAATTGTTAATAAACATGTTGTGAAAAATGACCTTTTAAGAGAGCGACTTTGTGAATAAGGATCTTTTGAGACAAAAGTTGTGAGAAAGGACCTTATAAATTGTGTGAGGTTGTGAAGAGGGACATTGGTTTGATTTTCCGACTAGTCAACGCCTGATTCTAGTGTTGATTTTCACGTGCGTAACATATGACGCTTAAAAAAGACCTCCAATTACTCTTTTCCCCAGGTTTCCCCTCATGTGCGTAGCACGAGATTGTTTGAAATGGAGGAAAATATGGGGAAAAAAGTGTGAAAGAGTCTTTCTAAAGTTTCATGTGCTAGGAACATGATAGTCAATGTCGGAGTCATGCGTTGACGAACTGGAAAACCAACCAAAATTCTTCTTCACAACCTGACACAACTTATAAGGTTCTTTCTCACAACTTTTGTCTTAAAAGGTCCTTATTCACAAAGTCGATCTCTTAAAAGGTCCTTCCTCATAAATTTTCCTTTCTAATATTTCCTGCAATATTTAAATTTTTTGTCG